GGAACCTAGCATCCCGTCCAGGGGAAATAAACATACTCCCTCCTAGCTCGTCGCTTCATGCTACTGAAACCGGGATAAGCACCGGCCAGAAGGGCCACTTGGCTCGTACGCAGACTTTACCTATCTGAAAGGGGGGTGTAAATACCATTTCCCAGCCCAAATTTTACCCAACTCACATTTATCAGCCTAGTTTTAGCCCAAATTCCAATCGCATTCCTATTTTCTTGTTTATGATCACCAGTCCTGGAGACTCAATTCCCAATTCCCAATTTAATTTTACCCCTTGAAGCCCCACTTAATCCAAGCGTAGTCAATCGATAAACCGATAATCGATGTTAATCGATAACAATAAATATCAATCGAAGCTTGATATCGATTGCCGATAGCATTATATAAAAATCGATGAGGAAAAAAGGTGTGTTATCGATTGTTATCAATTGCCGATAGTAAAATCGACAGCAATTGACTCATCGATTGGTATCGATAATCAGTTATCGAACTTATTTTTGTCCTTTTACAAGTTACAGTGACAAAATTGGTCTAAATGGTTTATTGAGTCAATTTATCATAGCCTGCATATCTTTTCCAATCATTGACAAAATAACAACAACGGAAACTACTGCTTTAAAAAGCCCAAAATATTTCTGACAAAATCTTTCTTTGCTAGTTTACGACACCGGAAGAAGCTCAACCCAGAGTAGCAGCGTAAAACCCTCCAGTCTCATTACTGCAACGTCGGCATTAAGATGAAGCAAAATAAACTGACAGAGCCAGTTTTCTAGAGATTTGAATTATTTGCATTAGGAAACAAACGTAAGAAGAGGTCAAGGAAAATATAATCTAGTACAGTAGCATGCTGAAGGTGAACGTGTTGGTCCAGGTATTATTTTACACAATAACAAAGCCGTCTTTGAATAGTCTGCTTGGTTACTGTCGATTTTGTTAAAAGCGATAACAATCGATATTCCCGAAGACAGGAATTATCGATTGTTATCGAGTTTTGCCAATCGATAAAGAAATGTTTCTGTGAGTTATAGATTGTTATCGATTGCAGATATTAATCGATAGCAATCGGCGATTGATGTCGATTAATATCGATTGATTTCCGATATCGATTTTTATCGATTGACTACGCCTGGACTTAATAGATAGCCATGATTTCGCACAATTGCAATATATGTAACGAGAGGACGAGATTCAAATCCAGGGTAAGTGAAATGAATTCTCGTGAATTTGGGACCATTAATAGGGCTATCAGCTCCTGAAGGTCAGGTGATACTTCGAAATGTACTCAACTTGTTGCTGTTTAGGTTAACCCACCTTTTCAACCGCAATAAGGGTTTGGTTAATTTAGATACAATGACAGCCAAGAAGGACACTTAGTGCCGGTCTTACCCAGCCCTTGGAGGGTACTCGAATACAAACAGATGATGGAAACTGAGCGGGAAAACGTTCAGATTACCTTTTGGGTTTTGCATAGCAGTTGTGTCCAGAGTATCGGACACTCGGTGATACAAAGATCTGTTTTGTGTCAAATCCTTTTGGCTTTCTGCTATCATTATAATGTCCATCTTCCTCGCTTAACTTTTTTCCTCCGAGCGCGACATCACCTGCACGTAAAATTAAACAATTTTGAAATCAAAATCAACTCTTTAATTTATTTTCTTACACATGGCGTTGTATGATGATAAATTGCAAACGTCTCTTATAAAAGAGCATTTTTCAGAATTAAATGTTATTTAACTAGTATTTCAAATTTATATTGTGAAATCAAACTTTTATTTCTAAAGCTGAATGTAATGAAGAAAAATAGCGCGGTATTTATTTAGTAGAATTCTACTAGTATACTAATGCAAATGGTGCAATCTGATTGGATGAACTATCGTACACCGCCAGCCATACATTAGTGTGCAATCTAATCTNATAGCGCGGTATTTATTTAGTAGAATTCTACTAGTATACTAATGCAAATGGTGCAATCTGATTGGATGAACTATCGTACACCGCCAGCCATACATTAGTGTGCAATCTAATCTAAGAATTATCGTGACTTATGCAACCTAAACAGCATCATTATGATGCTATGGGCATGGCATATATCCTCTACATGATTTAGCTGCGTAATTAGAATTTAAATGTTAAACGAAATACCTGGGATAAGAAGATCACCGCATTCCAAGATCGCGTTCACACTGTCCACTCTTGTGCCATGGAATGCCACATGCCATTTGTTAAACACGTCCAAAGCGGTAGCTCGATGATGAACCCTACAAAGATATATAGAACATACAAAACGTGAACTTTTGCAAAGTCCCATTATACACATGCTACTGAGTGTTGTGTCTCATCAAGCACAAATGAGCGGAAAAATGAGAAGAAACAAATCCCGGAATAAGGACTACACATTACTTATCAGTCCACGTACTTTTGTTTTCTTTGCCCACGTCCGGCTTCTTTCACTTCATTTAATACATACATGTCTCACACCACTAAATAAACGACACAGCCGATTGCCAGTCATACAACCAAAAAAAAAAAAAAAAAAAATGAAAACTCCTTTAGAGTTTCTAGAAATTGGCAAGCCTATGTTAAATTTTCTAAACATGAATTTTCCTATTTATGATGGAAAAGAATCCCGGTCGGATGAGAAACAACACAATAATGTCCAGAAAGACTACGAAAAAAAAAAACAACAAAAAACAATCAAACAAACAAATCAACAAACAAACGAACAGTACTGTGTGTTGCGCTACATTTTGCACTTGGCCAAAACTCTGACTTACTATGTCTTACTGGTAACTACTCATTACACGTTCAACTAACTTGAGCCCAAACCGACACCATCCTATTGGAATCCCGTAGTCCTTTGCAGGTTTTCCTCGAGTGTAGTAAAGTTTGTCCCCTCGGGCTGCGTGGCACTCCGTGCAGAAACATCTGTCATATTTTGGGTCAAAGAAAATTTCTGAAAAAAAAAAATGATAAAAATAAACAAACAAACAAACAAACAAAAAAGGAGCAAAACAAAAAACAAAGATAACTCAACGCGAGGTGGATGCAACACAGCTGGACAGAATTATACATTCAGTTTTTAGTGAGACTTATAATACATTTGACATAGAAAATTAACATAACGTTTCTTACATGCATAAGAGTAGTATATATAAGTAGAAATAACATCTGTTCAAGGCATGGTAGCCTTTTCAAGTGTTAAAGTCATTACATACCTGCCAACTTAAGTGATGACTTGAACTTGCGACATTTCTCCTGATACTCACAACTCGTTCTCCGTTCTACGTTTGCTGTACCTGCGTGATCAGAAAGAAAAATATTATGGATTCTTCTTAACAGGTCAAGACAAGAAAGTTTGCAAAGGAGTCAAGAAGTTACACTGCCAGGATGAGGCTATTGTATCGTTATAATCAACTCCCACGAGTTTATTAGGTCACTCAAAGTACTCGTATGCCCTTTAATTATATGGCTCTATCTCACAAGGACTGGGAACTACCAAATTCACGAATTTGATTGGTTGAAATCGATATTGAAAGCGGTCTAGATTTTCCCATCTAGACCGGTAATATTTTGCAGTGAAAAAATTGCAAACTAAAATGCAAAATCATTGACTACTTTAATCCAACAAAAAGCCTGACCAGAAAAAAAAAGTAAAGAGGACGAGCAAACTTTGGCAGAATTAAATCCTGCATGCTCATCGTCGTTCGCAAGCAAAATGCCAGTTAGTACAAACCAGTTACATTAAACGATTTAAATTGTTCTTGTTCGCCATATAATAAACACCTTATTAACCGAGCTTAGTCGGTCTGTATGGGAGAATCTTGACCCGGTCGCGTGTACAGAGCTCACTGCGTTCGGTTTGTACTCACAACCTCGGTCGAGATTCTTCCATACAGACCTCCTGCTCGGTTAATAAGAGCTAAATGATGACCTGTTTAGACACAGAAACTGTCTGAAAAAGTGAAATTTGAGGATAACTAGTCACCCAAAGAGGTTATTGTAAAAATAGCAATTTATTCATAGCAAATCTATTTACTCGAGCACGCCAACATGAGTAAAACGGATCTGTACCTCGGGTAGTTCTGGTTTCTTTAAGCTCGAGGAGAACTCGTTTCGCTGCCTCTTGAATTGCCTGGTTACCACTTTTGCTTAAACGAGTCAGCTCTTCCATTGCGTTCGCAGTTTCCTTGATCTTTGCCTTTCCCTTAGAGGTCTTTGCAATAACCCACAGTGTGTTGGCAGCGCATTCTTTTTCGGTTGCATCGCCTTTGCCGATGAGTGATATGAGCAGTGGAAGTACATCTCTATCCAACATAGCCTCCATGTTCTTCTCGTTGACTACCAAGTTACTCAAGCCGTCTGCGATTTCATGACACGACCATGTGGTACCCTCTGATCTGCCTCGTAGGTCCGACTGACTCAGTGCATTACGCAACATGCCAATAAGGTAACTTATTACCTAAACCACAACAAGATGGGAAATCATGCTTTGTAAATGTGAATTATTACAACAACTTTTTCAGCAAACGGTTTTCCTGGGTGTGCACTACCATTCTTTTGCGTTGGTACTACAAACACATTAGGAGTACCTAACATAACTGTGACTGTATTAGAATAACAGGGAACAAGGAACAAAGAATCAGCAAATTCTAACCTGACACCAAAAACATCACTGTTTGCCTTTTCGCTTTGCAGCAAGAGACACACTACGCTTTGACCACTTCGAGTTTTGACCAAAACATTTCATCTTTATGTTGACATCTCCAAAATCCCCAGTTCTGATCTGATCATTAAGCGTGTTACAAACTTCGCCAGGCAAATCTACACAACAAAAACTCCACATTCTAAAAGAAGCCAATTCCTGAGAAAACTTTCCGTTCGTAGGACCCCCTTTTTAATTTGTTTTGATGACTTAATTAAAATACATACCCTGCTCTCAGCTTCCAACAACTTTTTCTCCTCATCTGAAGTGATGTAGGCAAGTGTCAATAAAGCCGGCACAACAATTTCCAAGTCATCGGCCTTGAGAAATGGAGCAATCCTCTCCTTTGCTCTAAGGTCACAGAAAATCTGACGGTTCTCTGAAGCTTTGGAGCAGTTGTGAAGTATGTTGATAGCAGAAGACACCAGGAATTTCTTTCTCTATTAAAAACAAATGATTGTGTGCTATCAACTACATGTGATGAAATCAAACAAAATAAATCTTTAAATTAATGTTTAAATGACCAGGTAGGTAGCAGAATAGTATGGACACCCAAAAACACTCTTATCAAAACTACTTCAAGAGTTGAATGTGATTTGGACATTACTTCGTTTTTGGAACTGCTTGTGCCACACGTGTCCAGATCGTTCAACATAATCTTCAGCGACCCACTTCGTCCCAAACCCCTGGCCATTTTTAAACTTGCATCCGCATAGTTCCAGAACACACTGCGAACCACGTACATCCCCACCCAGCCATCTCGAGTCTCCATTCCGACATCCATCAGACGACGAAGAAGCATGGTCAGGTGATGTGGAGCACCGATCTCAGATAAGTGGTCACCGTACTTCTGTCGAAGCTTTCTGTCATCTGTCTCAGAGTAAGGCTCTAGAATATCTTTGGCGACTTTTCCAGTTATGGACAGCACGTCGCTGAAGGTGCCATCCTTCAGGATGTTTATGGTGTTGTTCATGCGCACCATAACTGACACAGAGTCGACCTCGTCCTGATTACTGCTCTGAGTTTCCGCTGTGCCACCTAAAAGACATGTCGAGTAACAGTTCCGAAGGTTAGCACTAATTATCTTTTTACGTTAGCGATTATTTATATAGAAAAATATATTTATAAATGATTTACAATATCCAGAGAAAAAGCCTCACCGCCCTTGCTAGATTTCATGGGGTCCTGCATCCAGTTCAAAATGGAATTTGGAAATGTTGGTGTTTCAGGAGGGAGGAAAACCGGAAGATAGAGAGAAAAAGCCTCGGAGTAAGGCGACGGTATTTTCGAGCATGACAAGGCTTAGCAGAGTTTGATATGACTAGAGATCACTGTTTGCGGTAGTAAAATGTACTTTTTGAGAGATGTTTTTACAAAATGAACAAAAACTTGCTTAGAACCCCAGCTCTTCAATACTTATTTATTTATTTATTTATTTTATTTTTTGTCCATGATGTGATCGACAATCTTTAAAGAATCGTATACTTCACTGGGACTAAAATAATCAAAACCCATACCAGTTATAGTTACTTCTTCAGCCTGGCCAAATACATCCACGACGCCATAAAGTACAGACGGGATAGTTTTTATCTTTTTGCCAACATCTACGCCATTTATGAAAAAATGCAGAGAATTGTCTGACATCCGCATTACTCCTACTCGGTCGCCAACCTGTTAAAAGAAAGAAACGGTAGTGTTAAAAGGATACAAATAAAAGAAACGAATATAAAAGAACAATCTACCCAGTAATGCAAAGGGAAATTGGCGGACGAGTTTTTCTTAAGCCTATTTTTGGGTCGTTAGGTGTTCAATCTATAGCAATCAAAATCATAAAACTTGCAGGAAGGATTCATTTCGACCGAAGCTAAGAACTTAGGCCCTTGTCGTTGTCAAGACCGAATCAAAAAGTAGTTTTAGTGTTGTAACAAAGCGTTCATTTCAACGTTTTTTAAGCCAGTGTCAAACCCATTTTTATATATCATGAAGTTTTGATTGCAATTGATTGAACACGTTTTTATATAATAGCAATCAAACTTATATGGTGTGTAAAGCATCCGAAATTGGGCACTGAATTGATAGTCACGTGTCAATCATGACGTCACATCATTCTGCAATGACGTCATACATTTTAAAATGTCCGAGGTTTTGGATTTCAAAACACTTTCTGAACAGCTCCCGTTGGAAGCTATTTACCCTTCTCATCAGATTTAGATAATAAAATTATTTTTAATTCAAAATCTGGTTCATTTAATTTGTAGAAAAGAGAGTCACAGATTCTTCCCGAGAGATCTTGCAACAAGTTGTCCTCTAATAAGAATAAAGAGCAAAGCACTTTGACCACGTTATTGTCAAATATTATCTTGGCACAATTCTGGGTCAAAAATATTTTCTTCCGAGTGTAACATACCGACAAACTGTCTAGGTCTTTTGATATTGTTGTCATCTCTTTCCCATTGTGAACGATTTTATCGCTACTGAGCACAAATGTTGTTCCTTGTACCATGGAGGTTATTGTCGAAGGGAGCTCCACATTTTCTGGAGAAACAGTCGTGGCTCCAATATCTAGACTGCCATACCACTTTGGTACTTTGCTATCCAAACGAACTTCAAATAGCTCATCAACTTGCAGAGGCTGGCTTGTTAAAACCACCCCATGATTGAAATGCTGTAGAGCGCTGCCAGTGAATGACATGGATTAGGCCAAACGTGCAGCATAAATAGTAGCAATACTTGTACTTGTAAGTTAACTCTAAATATGAATAATTCTTATGTGGTTGTAACACTTGTATTTATGTTTATTAAGACTCTAAGGATTCGGTGGTGCATCAGGTTTAGCGGAACAATGACTCCTAGATATATATTTTGACACTTTCATGTGGGTCTGCCATATTTTCAATATTTCCTTACTCGATTCTCTTTGCTTTCTTCCCGGCCAGCATCACTGCAATGTTGTCCCCACAACTGTGATGAAACTTGTAAGATTCCGAAGACTTAACTGGGCCGCTAGAGGCAGTTGGGACCTGGGTAGGAGATTTGGGAGTCGGAGACTGGGGCGGCGATCGGACTCCAGCTGATTGTGGTGGGGACTTGACCGGAGGGGATTGAGGCGGCTGTAAAACTTTTTCTTTCGCTGCCTGTAACTTGGCAAGAAAGTTGTCTTCGCAGAACAATAGAAATGATGCAATTGTTAGTGAACGTACAGCACGATGAGAAAAGCAAAATAGAAATAGAAAGGATGAAAACCCAGCCAAAAGACCCGAAGAGAGGGCGATTAGAGTCATTCGTTTAAGCGCTCCAGGCAGATTTCTGAAGGCGCATCCTTTTCTCCCTCAAAATTGCGCGTTACTTTGATCCAGTCGTCTCGTTTTTACATTCAAGTGCTAAATTCAACAAATTCCGCTCTCCCACTTGATAAAATGGTGAACAGTGACACCTTCAGGAGAAAAATCATTTCAATCGCTTTACAATGTTAAGGGTGAAGAGATCACATTTGTTACCGATAAGGCTCTTCCTGGAAGAAAGAAAAAAAAGATGAAAAAAAATATGTTAGTTATAAATTGTTTAGACGTCTTATTACTCTCACCTCCTCGTCCCATGTACTTCATTTTAATGTCACAGTTTCCATACACTGCACTGGCGCATGGGCACAAAGGCTTCAGAGGATGACGGGGTAAATTACGAAACGCCACACCGAGGTACGTATCTTCTGTGGCAAAGCTATGCAAACAAACAAGTAATGCCAATTAAACAACGAGCAACAATGATAACTAAGGTTTAGCCCGCTGAAATTGATAAACAAACATTGCTACACGCTGCTTAAACGAGAGGTAGTTAGGCTACGTCAAAAAAGAAAGAACACGACAATGGATTTAAGGTTGACATCGAAGGGAGAGGTTCTTGAGAAAATTAGAAGAAACTGTTAGAAAGAAAAGAAAAGAAGAATCGTAAAATTATAGTATACATCTGAAAGGGCGAATCTTTAAAATTGAAGATGTTTACGAGCAAAGAGGAAAGAGTAAATAGTAACGAGTCAAGAATTAAAAAAGATAGTTTGAGTGAAGATAAGAATCTTCAAAGATAGTCTCCAAGCATAGGGTAGCATTTAATTTCGAGCCACCTGAATGAAAAGAGTAGTTTTGAAAGGCAGCTTACGAGCGAAGAGACGGAGTTTTCAAAATTACGACATAACTAGTGAAACTAAATGAGATTACTGCAGGCTCATTAAGCTTCAAGATTTCTTAACCGATTAGTCACTTACCTGAGAGTACCATTGTCCATATCCAATATACAATACACGGTATCTGGCACGAAGAATCCAGGATTATTTGCTGGGTAGGGAGACTCTTCCCCAGAATGAAAGGACACCTTCTTGCTTAGATTCCAGCCCCACGACTCTGAATTAGATCCTATCAGTGGAATGTAACCGAGGCACTGTAGCGGGGCCTGGGGAAGGGAGATTCCAATGACTGCGTGGGAACCGCGCTCGTCTCGTTCCCAGGTTATCTCCCACACATGTCGACCTTGTCTGTATCCTTTCTTTCCTGTTCAGATTACAAAATAATTTACAACTTTTTTGCATAATTTAAGACCAAACTGTCACGAAAGTATATGGACTACATGCTGTATGTTTACTGCAACATTCTCAAATTTTAATCGCATGCCAATGACGTTTGAAAATGTAAATAGCTGGAACCTCATATTCTACTTGCTTTCATTAAGCTCGTGAACAATGTCTTCGTTTTCCTCTTTTCTCTCTCTCCCATCCCTCGTTTACTTTACGTCTTACGCTGTAACTTCCAACCTGAATCCAACCTATGCCTCCTCCGGTTTCGTTTTGCAAACGTTAGCGAACAAGATGAATTAGGTCCTTCTACATATTACACTTATTATTTAAAACTCACTCGCTGAGCCTTCTAAGTCCCTATAAATCTTTGGTACCGTCAGATTGTTTCCAAATCCTGGGTATTTATTTCGACTTTACTGCGTTAAAAAGGTGTTGATGAGAAGCTTGACAGAGTTGCGCTTTCTGGAGCCGAAGCAGGGCGGTGTTTGATCAACACGGGCATTTATATGTGAACTATGTTTTACTACAAAGCTTTAAAAAATGTTTTAAAAGTCTGGTCTCAACTGACTACTGAGATGGTGGGTCTAAGCTATGCCACTGTCTGAAAAACTAATGAAACCAACAGAAAATATTGAACGTAAATAGTGGCTAGGAACGCCGCGACCTATATCCATTTCAATGGGATCCATTCTGTATATTGCCAAGGTTACATGTTAGTACCTCTTATGCCGTCTGTGGTAAGAGGTGAAGGAAGTCTTCTGGCTGTCAACCTGTCACTCAAAACTCTAAACCTAGGCGAGCAATCCTCCGGGTCCCACGCATGCTCAATCTGTTCAGATGGGACGCTGGACTCCTCGGCTATTTCACGGAGTGCATCAAGAACAGCACGCTCAAATAAAGCATTTACTGGACTTGCTTGCATCCGTCTTTGGTGGAGAGGGATGGACTGCTCGACGCCCATTTCTGAAGAGCAAAATATAGCACTGCTATTACGGCCGTCAAAAGATTTCACAGAGCCTCACAGAATATCACTTTTTAGTATATACCACACAAGTGAATAGTGCTTTTCGCGCGCTCTGATCGGTTAACTGGAAGGTGATTAGCAAGTACTATTCACCTCCGAGCAGCCGGCGCGAGAGATTTTAAAATTTCTGACCGCTTGTCACACATAAAATAACGTTTTGGTCCGCTAATTATTTAGCTTGTGTGGTATATACTAAAACAATTATTCACCTCAGTGTCGGTGAAAGTGATGGATATTTACCTCCACTTCGGTGGTTATTGTTAATTAGTGAAGTGAACCACCTGTATAAAGATTGTTATTATTATCTTTATTATTACTATTATTATTATTATTATTATTATTATTATTATCATCATCATTATCATTATTATAATTATTATTATTATTATTATAGAGGTTCAAGAGCTAGACGGAAAGCCTTTTGTGACTTTAAGAACATTGATATTGACGTTGAAACCCAGGAGGGAGCCATTATGTAAACACTATTGAAATAGGTTTTAATAGTTTATTTCTTTTATTTACTTCTATTATTATTATTATTACTATTATTATTATTACTATTATTATTATTAGATACAGAAACAGCTTTTACAGATCTAATTGAAAGTTTAAATAAATACATAATGACGCTACCGTGAGGTACGCTTTCCTTTGTACACCGAAAAAGTGAGATAAAAGCGGCTGGCCGTACTAAACGTCCAGAATAGGGTGCTTGAAGTCCGAGATAGATTTCGATAAGTGCTATAAGCTTGAAAGCCCGTGCCCTGAATATTTATGCTCAGGAGAGGGAGGGAATTTTAGAGGTATTATGGAAAGAAATTAGTTAAAAATTATTGCGATTGGGGTATTCTTAATACGCCGGGAGGAGTCCCAGAGATCTACCTCTATTCATTTTATGTTAGCAGCGAGCTGGCCAGACAAAAGCTACACAAGCTAGTCACGTCATTTCGGGTTATCGTGCTAATATTATTCATGGCTGCCAGTCGTTACCCCCGTCATTTAATATTGTCCGATCGCAAGCTGAAAAGTTTATTGAATACACTATAACTTTGCACATCTCCCTGGTTTGCCAGGGGTTTTGTCCCTGAGGATTGCACTGGATCACCTGTGTCACGTCACTGAGAGTACTTCCCAAGGACAAAGTAAACAAGAATAATGGGCAAGACTGGCTAGGGCGAGACGAATTTAAACGAACAAAATAACTGAAAATTCAAATTCTACACGGCGTTAATTTTTTGTAAACATCCGGTTTTCCTAGAAAGCCGTAATAGAAAACTTTCGTGAAATTGATTACATTTTTATGTACTCTTTTAGTAATCTACTTTGTAGAGAGAACTTAACATATCCCTCGCTTCTTAAGGTAATAATAATAATGTAATAAACTGATCACAACAATTTAATTACGAATGTTGTATAGAATAAGCGGTCACTACAGCGTGAATGAGCTGTCAGTCTCACATACAGGGAACAGCCACTAGGCTGAAATGCCCCGAAGGCACTCATGTCGACTACTGTTGTACCGAAAGTTAAATCATAAGTATACATCTCAACTCTCCCCTCGTCATTGAAATAATCCAGTCACAGCGTATTTACTGTCGCAGATTTCGCAAATTTAAGTGGCGTGACGAAGCTTCAGCCGAAATAACAAAGTGTTTATAAGGGTTTGCTTTTTATGTCACAGATTGCTATTCATATATCCTTTGACTATCTTGGTTGTTTTGGCTTTTTCGAAAGCGAAATAAATTATACATCACTTAAGACGGTTTTGCTTCTTCCTTAAGTTAAAACTTAACATATTCTTTACAAATCAATACCCAGAACAGAGGAAATAACGATACAAATAAACGGACCAGACAACAAAGAAGTATCGCAGCTAGTTCTGCTACTTAGGTGTGATAACCAAATCGGTGTAGGTTTCTTTACTAATATCGTACTCCCATTTCCATAACCGAGAACTAATGATAACTGTAAACAGGCTAACCTGAGCGCTATTTCGGCCAACCTGAGTGATATTCAGGCTAACCTGTGATATTCTAATAGGCCTACATGTGGGCATCAATCTGCAGTCTGCAAATGTCATACGCCGTATCCAAACTGATATAATCCTACTACACTGCTTGTGCTATTACCACACTTACCTATTTTAGGGTCTTTCAACCTTAACTTTCTGTTTTGAGGCGATGAACATGAAAGCGAAAGCCCTCTTGTTGACTCCTCGTACACTTCCGGGATCTAAAAAGCGCCTTCTTCCCCGATCCAGGCCTTTGCAGCATCATTTGTCAGCCAAGGCATGGAAATCAACCGCAAAGGGAAAGTATCCCAATGAAAGAGCGTTGAATCGCCCACGAAAGAAACGGAAGGACCGAGAGAATATATAATGGTTAAGAACGATAATTTCAGTTTGCCTACGGACATCTCGACGATGCAGTCAGTTACACCGTGAGCGATTTTCCAGGTATAGAGTGTGTTCAAGTGACGTCATCAAATTCTCAAATCCAAGACTAAAGAGCCCCTAAAAGTTTTATCCTCGTCAGGGATAAGAGGTACCAAATTTATATCTGTTTACAACTTTCCAGCTCAATAGCGTCCTTCGTTTGGAAACCAGCGCATTTTGAATTTCGGAGTTATGGCGGTACGTGACATGAAGCTAAGATCGCGTTTGTCGAAAAATATACACTTGCCTCGTGATTTTTAGCCATTTAAGGATTTAAAGTATTAGGAAAAGTGCTTGTGTAAGCTTTTTTTTTTTTTGGTTCGGTTTAGATTATCAGTCGTCTAGATAGCCAAAGTAAGTTCCAGATGTTTACACTATTTTCCGGCCGCGATGTTGGATGACTAAGGAGGTCCTCCAACATGGCGGCTCCATACTAGGTTCTATAATTTTGTGCGGAACATTTCGACGAATATCTCAACTTTGGGACAACGCACAAACCTTAAACTTGGAGAACTGTCTTCTTTATTTATTGTCTATAATATCACAATTTCTTGACTGGCTTTTGATTTTATTTTTTTATAGCGTGACAACGAGCACGCACAGCTGATGGTTTAAGCGTAACTAACTAATGCTTACAAAAGCCTTTGCAAAGTTTGACCTTTCAGTGCTATGTTTTGCCTTCAATGTTTCATTTTCTATTTCTATCGCAAAATTTGCGTTCTGAAAAGAATTATTCAAATCCAAAGACGAAGCAGTTAGCTGGGCTTGCTTGATACTAAGTCACGCACATCATCAGAAAATGGAATGACCATAACACTTCATTTTTAACAACATCACTAGCTGCTATTCTGCAACAAGTGCCTTCGATAAAATCGTTAATTATGGTATAAAAATGCACAGAAATACGCAATTGCTGGTATTTGGCTTCTTGGGAAAAATAGCCTTCCGGTGTTTGTGTGCCTGTTTCAGTTGTTTAACAAGGTAGCAGAGTTTGTGATTTTAACCGAAATATCAGGGAGATGTCTATGTTTTAATCTGCGGCAAGATCCGTGTACTCAACTGTGTTTCTCTTAACCGACAGGATCAGTCCGTGCCGTTTATTAGAGACCTTTAGCATCGAGAGGGTCGGCGACCGGAAGTAATTTTCATTTCCGGCATACTTGAGACCCGCGCAGACGTCAAAACGCTGCTTGTCGCGGTGCATAGAAAACGTGAGTATATTTTTGCCTTTAACTTCTCTAGTTTTGCATATTAGCCAAAATTTCGTTCTTAACGGCTTGCAGGATGAAGTGAGGTTGATATTTACTCAGCCTAGAATCGTCATGATACGAGTGTGCCCTCGTCCTGTTCCGAGCCCGCAGGCCCATGATGAGATAAATTTCCAACGTCCATAGTCGCTAAAATTCTATACAGAAAAACTGCAAACCAAACTTCTTCACGCAAAGTGAACATGGCCGCCGTATTGATAATTGACAATTAGGCTTATGGGATTGCCTGGACCACTGGTACTGGTATAATTGTCCTTTTGGGGAAAATTTCTTCGCGCCAAATATTTTTGCTTTTCATGACTTTGGTATTTTTATTTATTCTATAAACATCAGTGAAATATCAGGATTCTTCAATTCCTTTTACTAAAAAGTCATATCTTCATCGCGCGCAATGAAGATACTATTTTTATCTTTCACACTGTGAAGATATCATTCCTTTTTGATAACATTTTTCTTTTGTCCCTTTAACTACACTTAAATTTGTTAATGTATGATCAAAACATCTTCGGATCTTCTTCGTTCGTTTTCGGCAATCTTCGGTAATCTTCGGAAAATGTTCGGAAAATGTTCGGAAGTGTTCGTCTGGCCTTCGGAACAATTTTAGAAAATTTTCGGAAATCTTCCGGAAGTGGTCGGAAATCTTCGGAAAATCATCAAAAACGTCGTCTTTAGTATGTTTATAGAATAAACAGAATATTACATGCCCGCTTTTGGATACGAATATTATCCTCTCGTGTTCAACTCAATATCCCACTCTTTCGCTGCGCTCACTCGTGAGATATCGAGTTGAACACTCGAAGATAAAATTCGCATCCACGCGCGGGCATGTAATATCCCTATGTATTAGGGGCCAAGACCAATAAGTGAATTCTTCTTGTAAAAATGGTAGAATTCTGATGTTAGTTCAGTTACTTTGTAGCCCAGCACAATCTGCAATTTTGTCAATTATTTTATCCGTGTAACTTTGTAAAAGGACAAAAATAATTTCCGATAACAATCGAGACCAATCGATGAATCAGTCATTATCTCACAACTGTTTTTTCATCGATTTTCATCGATTGCTATCGACAATCGATATCAATGATATCGATTATCGGTTTATCGATTGACTACGCCTGGTAAGACAATACACTGCTAAGGGTCTATATCAAGTCTCCTGAAACTCAAATCAAACAATGCAACCCATGTAGTGAAACCACTTAGGAAACAACAGTCCAGAAATTGAAAATTTTTCTGTTGCGTTTATGACCCCTGTAGTGGTAGAAAAACTGTAAACAATATTCTAACGCAGCGATTATTCATTCTCTCATGCCGAGCCAAATAAATATGAATTATGGAATGACGATGTGGTTTGACATCCACACTGAAATATCAAATTCGACAAAGTGCTACGTACAAGTCACGTCACCATCCGTTAACTCCAGACTCCAGGCTTATAGTCAGAACGGCCAGGGGCACCCAATAGAGGTGTTCCGCAAATGCGTTTTCCCTGCTGTATTGGGATCCCGGAGGGGGGCAGGGGGTACTCCCTATTATGGCCTATGCGGGGAAGCTCCACCCGAAAGAAGCGCCTTTTTCAGGGTAGACATTACACAAATCTTAATATGGCTGTATTATTTATTTATTAGGCGCTACAAGAAAACGACATGAAGATTTCATTTTATGGCGATTTATTCATAATACGGGCCAGCTATGAAAGTACCGTTTAGACCCCGCCAATTCTAACTCGGTTATTTCGAATTCCCCGAACTCAAAATCACTTCCCTTGGATTTGCCCTTCAGTCATTTACCATCGGTTATTTCAAAAACCCTCTATTTCGAGTTATTTTTCGTTTTCCCTGGGGGTTCGAAGTAACGGGGTTCAACAGTATCTGAAAGGGCTACCTTTTTCAATTAAAGATATACGAAAGGGATACCTTTTCTGTCAAAATGGTATACAAAACGGTAACGGGTTGGACCTCGGGGTAGACTGCGAGCAGTCTTTCTTTACCTCAAAAATCCGTGGGGAAAAACGCGAAACAAGTGAGCGTGCGAGCGTGACTGTCAGCGTGACGTGCGAGCGGCGATACCGCGAGCAACCTCGGGGTGGAGTCCCCCAGTATAGAACTTTGTAGAGTAGCTCCCCTCCCCCTTCCCGGCCCCCGGGCTGGGGAATAATTATCCTTTCGACTGGCTTGAAAGTAACTTTATCTTGCCGGCAAAATTAAATTATCGTTTCAGGTGGCTTGTAGACAACACCGCTAGTGCACTGTTTGGTTTAGAAGTTAAAATACAAAACTTGACAGGGAATTTCCCGAAGGAGTCATTACGAAGATGAAATGAAAATACTACGCCAGTGTAACACATATCGGACTTTCATTTCCCAAAGAGGCAGAAATTCAATTCTTTATTGTCTCAATACCATAAACAACGTGAAAAACAGTCAGAAAGTCAGAAAGCTAGAAATACAGTATATATTAACCCGATAATTATTTATAATGTACGCTACATGTAAGCAGCTAGAGCTCTGTGCTCACAATCAGATATCATAAATAAATATCAATAAATAAAACACAAATTATTATAATAATAAATTATTATAATTCCACGACTGGGGGACACTAATTACAGTTTCATTCGCAGAAATGAGCTTCTACGGGAAAGCCGCGGTATTCGAAACTGATCTCAATGATGGCTAAGTCGGATTGTTAAGAGGTATGTTTAATGAATTCTTCCTTGGTTTTCATTTCAACTTGCGAAGACGCCTGTCCTTTGTGACGCTGATGATGCTTGCGTCTGACTCTCAGGAAACAGATGATCCCTAGGGCGATGACTATTACAACTACCGCCGCCGCTGCTGAAATGGCAACAACAAGATACCATGGCTTGCTGCTGCTGGGCACAGTATCTGTAGAGGAATAACGCTTCAGTCAGTGAGTGAAAACAGACACCTAGAGACCAGGCACAGTATATCACAACACAGGATCGAAGTTAGCACATTATCACCCTCCAACGCAAACACTCTATGGGCTTGTCACGCAATCTTCTAGGGAGGAGGAAGATTGCGTGACAAGCCCAAAGAGCCTTTGCGTAGTAGACTAGTAGGGCATTGTAGGTTGCTTATAAGCCGGGTAGTTGATTCCTAATACAATGTACAATCACATGACATATACATGATATAGACACCCCATCCGCTCTTGCTTATGTGCTCGAAAGGTACCCGTAACAAAAAGTAAATGATAGAAAAGAAAAAATCACCGCTCAAGTTCGCCAAAATATACGTCCATCCTACCATTAAAACAGTTGTGACTGGTTGTATAAAACAAGGAAATGCGTGACTTGGTACATGCTGTGATAATGAGAATGAATCAAACAGACAACTTTGTTCAACGAGGGTGGCGAAAAACAGTATAAGGAAAACAGAGAATTAACTCTAAAATCCAAACGTTTCCCTCTGAGCCATAGTCTTGGAAAAGAAAGGTCAAGGAATGCTGCGACCCCGGAACGCAGTCCGTAGAGAAACGATGATGTATAAATCAGAGGTAGTGGGCTCGAGTCCCCATCGAGGTTAAGTAATTGTCTTTTTACTACGTGTGGTCACCCATTTCATTTCTTGGACCAACACTCAGAGGGAACAACTTTGGTTGAAATAAAACACCCCACCATACTTTTTAAAAGGTAAACTTTGTACTTTCGAGTTTCTAATATCCGTGCTAGCGCGACATTGCATTAGCAGATGTACTCCTAGCACAAAACAGTATTGCAACTGGAAAACCTGTGGCACTCAAAAGTCGCGGAAAAACTCACAGAACAAATTCAATTAATAACATATTTATTCACCTGTGTAATGGCAGCTCGGTTTTGAGCCATTCCACTGGCCGTGTAAACAAGATATGACAGACGAGCCGTTCAGCAGGAAGCCCGGTTTACATTGAAATTCATAGATGATTCCGCCATCTTTAGTATCATTNAAAAAAAAAAAAAAAAAAGAAAGAAAGAAAGAAAGAAAAAAAGAAAATCAATCAAAATGTATCAATCAAAATGTACTTTCGAGTTTCTAATACCCGTGCTTTGTAGCGCGACATTGCATAAGCAGATGTACTCCTAGCAGAAAACAGTATTGCAACTGGAAAACCTGTGGCACTCAAAAGTCGTGGAAAAACTCACAGAGCAATTAAAATTCAATAAACAACGTATTTGTTCACCTTTGTAATTGCAGCTCGGTTTTGAGCCATTCCACTGGCCGTGTAAACAAGATATGACAGACGAGCCGTTCAGCAGGAAGCCTGGGTTACATTGAAATTCATAGATGATTCCGCCATCTTTAGTATCATTTCTTAGTGCCGTGCCATTACCAACTGTGTTGTCCAATGGACTGCATCCTGTACAACAAAAAAAAAAAAGAAAGAAAGAAAGAAAGAAAGAAAAACAGAAAATCAATCAAAATGCGTCAATTTTGGTCGGCAGGCTGAATGAATTCTTTTTAATCAAGGATCTAGAAGATTGACGTTGAAGGAATAATAACAGGTAAACTGCGGTGATAAACATGACAATAAAACGAATTGTCGGAGAACAAAAACTATCTTTTTACTTGACGTTTCGTATGTTTCGACACACATCTTCAGAAGTGACCGTTGAGAGCAGAAGTAACAGCTAGATTTTAAATTTAAGATAAGTAACTAATTAACAATACTAAATGACAGAAGCTTAAAAAATTTGCATGAAGATGAGTGTCGAAACATTCAAAACGTCAAGTAAAAAGATGTAGTTTTTGTTTTTCAACAATGCGTTTTATTGTCATGTTTATCACCGCAGTTTGCGTGTTATTTCTTGTTAAGCTACGATGGTCAAAGAAAAAGAGTATTTCCGATAAAGTTAAAGAAATGTAGGCTTGTACAACCAGTTGCCACATATTAAATATATTTATAAAAATAAAATTTGGTTAACATTTCGTTTTTTAACGAAAGATAAAATTCCAGATTGCGCGCAAAGGACTATAGGAAACGCTAGGCATTTTGCATTAGTGTTTGACCCAAAAATATTGACTTGACTCGAAGTATTCGTGACTCGTAAATCTCGACTTCAAGCGATATCCAGTATTTGCACACTTGTAAGTGTCTGTGCATTTAATGCAAAAGGTTGGCTTAATCGCAATGGCTTAGTTTAACATGGATAGCTCTTACCAAACATAACATGCACAAAAAAAATAAAATAAAATAATAAAAAAAACACAGCACGTCATTTGATTTAATCTACACATTCTTTCCTTCAATTTTGAAGCCTCTGGCAATTTTGAAATGACAAACTATATAGTGAGGGCTTATTTCCATGCTCGGTAGTTTTTTTATCTTTGTCTTTTTTACCTGGTGTCTCCGTTTCATTGATAATTGCAACAAATGATTCCACCGCTTGCTTAGACGCCATTCCAATGCTGACTTTCCCAGTGGTGTGGATATCGAACAGACATTGCTTGTTATCTCCACACACCTCACGAGCCTGCTGGCCGAGGGTTGCGTTATCAAACGCGACGTCATCCTGATCCAAAAATATCGGGACATATCCAGCATCGAAATAAGATGAGTGACTTTTGCCTTCATCGTAAGTGAATAACGAGTTATTTGCAGTTGTAGCCCCTGAAATAGAAAGATATCCCAGATAACGATAAAGGTACTGTCTCGCATTTTCTGTAAAAAGGAAATAAAAATATTTCAGGAGCATGGGAAAAATTTGAAGAACTTGGTATAAGTTGATTATGTACGTTGATGCAATTGTCTCATGGAAAATTTAAAGTTGTGAAAATCAGTCCTAAGTAGGCAAATGTACGCAGGAAGAATTTCAAAAGTTTTTCAACAAAACACAATCAACCTTGAAAACAATATGTTCTTATCCAACTGGTATATCTCAGAGCTCACCAACACACTTTATACAACTTAACACGAATAAATTTTGGAATGTTATTTGTAAAACTCGCAATTAGAAAAAAATTTCTTCATGACTATTAGTACGATCCAATCTTTCCCCAAACCAAAATCGCACTTCAGCAATTGAAAGAGCTATGATCAAGTTCTGCCATGGCAATACCTATACGGAGCCATGAGGCGATCACACTTTCCACAGCTTATGAAGTTCACTTACAATAACATAACAATGCTGAATTAATGTTATGTTAGTGCGCTTTTCAACTGCGTGTCGAAAAACCCAAAACGGCAATCTAATCCCTTTGGCCAATCACAAAGCTAGAGCGCAGACAAACCACTGAACCAATCAAAACTCGAACGAAATACGTGAAGCCGACACAAAGCGCGGGAAAAAAATGAATGAGCGAGTCGCGATTGGTTTTGGCTTTAGTTTAATTGGATGAGAATTAAAATAGCGCGATATTTTTAAACCAATCACAAATCGTATTAATGCAAAACCAGAAGAAATGCAAATAAATTTCGACACTTAAGTGCAAAGGGCTCTACAGTAGAGCAAAGTGTGGCTCTTACACAGCCTCCCAAACTCGAAGTGAATTCTGGTCAGGCTAGAAGTCGTCTCCAGGAAAGTTCCGTTGGGAAGCAGGAATTCCTTTTCTTGGTCTCCGTCCCAAAAACCCAGAAGGCCACTTGTGTTTCCTTAAGAAGAGAGAACATGAAAAAGCAATCAAAACGGTGCAACGAATTCGATCTTAACAATATTGGCAGTGAAATTGCTGTGCGTTGAAAGAAGTATTTCCTATGTTTCAGGGTGACTGTTAACGATATTTTGTTTATGTATCAGCACAGGGTCTTTTAAAATAGTGTGTAGCGTTTGTATTGATCCGGAAAAAAAGCTATTTTGTGTGCGTTTTTCTCCTTTTTTTTTCCCAACTAACTTGACACTTTTTTGAACCAATCTAAAAATCCCATTGGTAGTTGACCGCAAGTTAATTAGAATAATTTGATAGTCGACTCTTCGTCAAAGCGCCAAACTTCGGTCAAACGAGCGAAATGAATTAAGTCTCACAGAACTGGTTTGCCTGAAGTTTCCCAACTGTGCAGCGACTAGTTACACGTTTGCACACTGATTAAAATTTCAGAAATCTTGAGCCAAACTCACTAATATCCGCTGAGCTAGAAAGACCAAGACAAAGTGGAAGTGAATAATAACATATTAAAACTAGAAAACAATCACTCACCCTGAAACTTTGGTGGTACCAAAAGCATCATTTGTAAAATGTCTTCGGCCTTCTCAACAGTGACTGATATCCCCGAGCTGAAAATGGCGGAGTACTTCGATGTATTGTTGTATTTTAAAATGATGACGCCGTCAAAATCCATCATCAACTCCTCATTAAATTCCATCCGATCTCCATTCACCAAGACCTCTATTTCGTTGCGACCGTTGATATGGACCTGCAAAGCACACCGTTTTTAAATTATGTCACCTGGAAGTTGCGCATGGGAAGCTTGGAGAACATGAAAGAGTCAGAGTTAATCTTGATGCAGCTGCAAACAACTCTGGAGCCTCTTTCTTGCTCTCCAAACTTCCCAAGTATATCATAACTCGATGACACATGCTAAATCATGCATCAATTGTTAAAGAGTACCCAGTTGGAGAAGATTGAAAGTGCAAATTACAATTGGGGCAATATACGCACTGTTCAGACAATGTTTGCCTGCACATTCATTTAACACATAGATTCTATGTTGCCGTGCGTCTGTTCAGTAATAGATTACAGATGACGTCAAGATACGGTAAGAACAAAAGAGTGGTACACGAGGCGAAGGCAGGGTGTCACTGATGTTCTTACCACAAAGTGGTAAACCCCGAAGGGAATTCGAAACCACAAAATTGCTATATAGATAGGCATATCAGAGTTTACCTCTCTGATGATGAAAAAAAAAAATAATAAAAAATAAAAAATAAATAAATGTTAATGAAGTATTCGAGATGTCTGTCCTCCAATAGACTATAAGTAAGAACCAATCAAAATGTGAGAATAAGTCGACCTATCACATACATCATAAGAATTTTCCTTCCACACCTGATGTATTATGAATGATCTATTTATTAATTAATTTTGTTTTCTTTATATTCATTGAATGCGAAAGCGTTATCAATTACTAACTGTAGATGTAGATAGATGTAATGAATGTTGCATGGGATCTAGTATTTTAAGCGCTTAGAAGCAACTTCGAATTACTGGTGGGGAGGAAAATCTTTTTTAAGGGGGATTATAGGAGCCTTTTGGGATTATGGTTCGATTGCGTCTCGCCAAAACACTAGACAAGGCTCGAAGCAAGCAAAAAAGGTTCGATTAGGCAGTATAATAAATTACGCTAGGTTAACCCAAAAGGTTATAGGCATTTTTAGCTATGGAATAATCCAGGCCATACTAACTTATAAAAAATCTGTCAAAAGAAAATAATGATGATGATGATGATGACGATAATAGTAATAATAATAATAATAATAATAATAATAATAAAACATGACTTCATCTACCTGTACAACATCTGAGGCATTTTCCTTCATGGCAAACGCTTTGTAAACTGTGGCACGAGTTTTGCTGTCATCATCATTAATCAAAGGCTGCATTCGTCCTTGCAGCTTAAAGTCAGGGCCCGCTACCTTGAGGATTTCATACTCGCCGTAACCGTTAAAGGTATATTCCACTCCATCAAGTGTAATCATATGCGGATCGCCAAAACCTGTGGCTGTAAAACACAAGCAATCGATTCATTTATAATAGCGAATGACTGAATGGAATCTCGTTTAGCCAGAAAATAAAAGAGTGGTTAATAAAATAATCCGACCACGAAGCTGGAGGCAGGCATTAAAGCACGACAGATCGATCTGTTGATGAATTAATTGGTCGACTGGTTGGTTGATTGAATCAATCAGTTACGAACTGAATGACCGACCACCAGCCTGCCTGCTTAGCTGCCTGCCAGTCTACTGTACGGCGTAAATACCATACGGGCGTTTCCCTAATTAACATAGAAGTTGTCTTTTAAGTCGCTTATCTTTATTACCTGGTCTTGGAGGTTCGTAATTGGAGCCGTCATCTGAGGGTCTTTTTTCAAAGTATTTTGCGCAGTTGTCAGACAGCAGACAACAATCCAAATAAGGCACAAGATCGTGAAAGAAATGAGATAAAGCGGGTACTCCTGCCTCGATATGGACTCGATCCAAGGATCCTCCATTTTGGGGACCGACCATTAAGTTTCCCTGCTCGTTGTAGCAGCATTGTTGTCCTGCACCTTGGTTACTATCAACGTCAGTTGAAGATAAGTCAGTACAACTCGGTAGACGACAGTAGAAATGTTTGTTTGCACTAATTAAGATGATTTCCGCAGAACATTCGAGCAATAATGGAAAAAATTAAGTTACCAAAAAAACCTCATGGCACAGTATTATTTTGAATATAGTTAAGAAGAACTTATCGAGACTCTGACCCCGCGTGAGAAAATTGAACTTGAAGTTATCCATACTTCACTTAAAACAGACAATTCGCTGTGGCCAAAAACACAAAAACACACATGAAGATATGATTGATCATCGTAGTTATACACACAACACTTATGCAGCTGTGAAATTAAAGCCTGAAAGAAATTCTCAGTTTCAGGCTTTAATTTCACAGCTGCTTAAGTTGTGTGTATAATTGCGATGATCAATGATATCTTCAGATCTTTCTCCGCAGTTCAAATATATGGTCTTTCATATATTCCAGAATAAAATTAGGGCGTGAGAATGTCCAACGATAAAATATGTAAATACAAGCGCTAAAAGTCCCAAATGACATATGTCGTGACTTTAAGATCTTGAGAAAGAGCGCGCCAAAGTAAATTCGACTGCCTAATCTATGAAATGCTCTTTATAAAGGAGCTTAAGCCAACTTTGAACAAACAGTCAGATTTAATCCGTGCAAAGTTATTTATATAATTTTTATATAGTTTTTATTATTTTAGCACTTACGTTTTAGCGCTTGTATTTACATATTTTATCGCTGGACATTCTCACACCCTAATTTGTACTTGTATGATTATATTTCATTCGCTTTCACTACAACTTGAAAATGATCTCAGGGAGATCGAAACGTCGTTTTTTATCGCTAGTTTTTATTCTGAAATGTGTTTCAAAAAAAACTTCATATATTCACTCGTACAATAACACACTCTTTGAGCATTCTTACGATGTTTAACATTAAGTTTCTCGAAAATGTTTTAGAACTTAATTGCGGGGTCACTTAGAGAAATTAACTAAAGTGAGTTGGTCTAGATAGTATTCATAAAGTTCCCGTGCTATGAGTAGATTTTTTTAGTAAATAATCTTTGCACTTTTTGCTCAAACTTTGAGCGGAATCCGTCTTAATTCCTAAGACCTCATGGCACATGCAATGTAGCGTAAAACATGCAGTGCCTATATTCGTAGGGTTCCGTGAGGTCAAAGTGACCTTTCAAGTCTTTTCAATGCATGATAGTGCCTGCAGCATGAGGGGACGAAAGGCTGGTGTTTACACGGTCACTTTGATGGCTAAAAAAAGTTAAACGATCGTTATTATAATCGTATGGAAATCATGCTCTCTCCAAAGAGTGTAGCGATCGGTTGCGATCAGAAAAATACCAGAAAAACGGGTAATCTCGGGCATTTTTTTTTGATCCCGTAACATTTGTGGCGCCAGCGATCATGTGGAAACTGAGCGTCAGAAAGATCGCTGAGCTCTTTTAATTTTTGGAGCGATCGCAACGACATGGACACTAGCCTGAAGCGCACTTACGCTCTGGTGAAAACATTATAAAGCCGAGTGCGGGATAGAGTAAGGACTCATTTGTGTGCAGCTTCACTTCTGCCGTATCCATGTCGCTGGAGCTCCTTTGAAAACTTATACAGTTTGGACGTGCTTTCTTAGAAACTGTGTATAAAGTGCAAACTGGTTTTATCAAGCATGACGTACAGGTAAGTTTTAGAACACGCCGGCGTTGGCCTAGCTATAGTGTGATTATTCATTTGAAGGTCGTAGATGTCGATACTGATTACTGACGTTTCAACAACCTCATCAGATGTCATAGTCCAGGCTAGTATTGAGCACTGATAATTTACCTGGGAGTGATTGTCCTGAAGCAGTGCTTGGCCCCAAAATGATAAATAACACAACGGTCCTCAACTTTTGGATTGCAATATTCATCGATCGTGAATCTCCCACCGTCTGCCATAGCTTGAAGAAACGTTTGTGGACAAGGGAGAAGGGAAGCATCATCTGTAATGAAAGTGTAAGGAAGAACAAGAGCGCCTTGTGTTTCGCGTAAGACATTTCGTGGAGGAAACTGGTACATTACTTCTTGACCTTTTGCATTCTGTCTGGACGAAATATTCGATACACAGGGCAAAGTTCCGGAATGCTTTCAGCCTACGTCGTTTGAACTTAACATATTGTGGTAAACTCCTCAAGACCCAAGGGGTGATCTGCACTAAAGCGATTTTCAATTGAGTGTCGAAAGTAATCAGGCAATTACCTTGATTCTGGTTTTACTACGGTTCGAAATTAGCCGAGTAGTCTAATTGATAAGAGGAATTGGTTTGGTTTTGGTTTTACGTCACTCAATTTAAAATCGTTCTATGGGCAAATGGAAACATGTAAAACCAGCACTTAACAATACCCCTCAGCCCTAAGAACAAAAGAGATGCTAAAGCGAAGTTACATCAGAACGTTTACGTAGGCTGCCTGTAAGGATGAAACAAATTATCTTTCCTACCTGTATATATCTTTGGATTGGGTTGTCTTTTATACCAGTGCTTGCATCTCTGGGCACCCCACTCATAGCTTAGCCAGGAAAACAGATCGCTCCAAATCCACTCGGCCGGAGAATTATCGCGTCTTTCGCCAGTCTTTTTCACTAGAACCAGTGTAACGTAACGTCTGTGTCCAACAACAGCTCTGGGGTATTGTTACGGAAAGGAGCATAAGAATCCGATAAGTTATGGCAAATACCGTGATTGGGTAACTTGTTTTCGTGTTTTATCGTGTTTTAGAAAACGTTTCAACAGCGGAATTGCTGGCATGGAACACAGTGTATCCCACGATATTCAGAAACACCTGTATTTGGCTCTTAGCATCAGGCAATGGCAGCATTCTCGTATCGTACACACCACATATCGCCCTTATCCTTTTGTTTGCACCATACATGCTTCGTACAGAATTGATCCAAATACAGCCGGTTTCACCGTTCGACTGAAATATCTGAGGCAATATTAAAATTAAGCCGCCTTCAGATCTGCAACTAGACAGGAAAAGAAGATAAAGGCTATACGTGGCAGTTTTAAAAGGGACAATATCGTGACGAATTTGCTGCATTTTTGGTCAAGACAGTGCTGACACTGTATTTGCTGGTACAAGGTCATGGAATGCGTTTAGAACAACACGTTGCAGATGTTACGTGGACTGCTGATGGAAGAAAAACTGGCAATTAAGCGATTTCCAAGACACGACGGCAGTATTTAATTTGTTATTTCAACGAAGTGATAGATATTTCACTTTTGGGATTTCCTTTTTTGAATTCATGCGCATAGAACCTTTTCAAAAATGGCTGCCAATTATAAATCCTTTTGTAAGTATGAAAATTAGCCTAACTAACTTCGTTTTTGAGTTGATAATTCAAAAGAATTTTTACTCCCAAACGAGTTTAGAGAGGCTAATTTAATGCATACAAACGAATTTTAAATTGGCCGCCATTTATGAAAAGGGTCTATGACAGTGCCTCTTTAAAATGCACGTTGACTTTCTCTCTCACCCTTGTCCGTGCCCTTTTGGCACGCTGACTCCAGCTTCTCCAGTATTCTGTTGTTCGGCTATCAAAGAAAACATGCTGTGAAAATACACGCGGCCACGTTTCATGGAGAAACGCACCAATTCAATGGCTACAGTCTGGTTTTCGCTTCCGAGGTGGTCTGGGTTCCACGTGACCCTGACAGGAACAGTCTCCTTCCACGTTGCTGGCGCCAGTCGAGTAACACGAGGCCTAATCCTGTTGATATTAACTACAAGAGAAATCAGTGGAGAAATGTTCGGTTTATGTTAATTAAGTTGACAAATTAAAATTAGAACTTGCACTGGGTGTGGATTCTTTGTAAGATTTGTTTTTTCAAATTACTTGGTCACACAAAAAAATATAATTGGTCGCTTTTTTTCCCTATTTGATTTCATATAGTCATACTAACACAATTATGTGTAAACGAGATCCAAACCCGGGAGGAAATAGTCGATTAGGCCGAAAAATCACAATGTTTAACTATGATTTCTAGTTAAATTTCATTAAAATAATGATTTTTGAATTTTTGTGTACATCTTAGCAGTATAACTCTAGCTAAATCGTGCAAGGAATATCTTGTCCTTTTAAACTTGCAGCTGTGAAAGCGCTGATCACTTTTGAGGTTTTGAACGTGCATATTGGGGAATGCTCTACTTTTAGTCTTTTCTGGAATTGAATTATCCCATAAGTTGTAACTAGTCCTTCCAAGCTTCTGAAAAATCATAAAAAGTCGCTATTTTAAAGACGGCCTGCTTCCCCTTTACACTAGCTAATGGCTGGTAGTGTACGATAGTTTAGCCGATCACATTGCAGCCTTTTCACTAGGTTATTAATAAAACTTATGGTGATCATACAATGTAGTTTTATTATTGTCTATAGATCTACTATCGTTGAAAAATATCATTATCACCTGCTGTAAAACTTCCTTTAAAATCGAAACGTCTTCCTCCGTTGAGGGACATTTTCATTTCCAACTTGCCAGTAACAAAAAGCATGGGCACAGTACATGATGCCCGGATGTTGCTTGCATAACTTCCGTTGCTTACTTTTCCACCAGGAAATTTACAAACGATATGATCAGTTGGTTTGTAACAAGGTCCAGATATGATAAGGTTGTCGCCACCAAGCATAATTCCTGAACGCGGTGAAACCACGAGCGATCCTAAAAATAAGGCAGGCATACAAGTACTATATTAAAATGTTTGGCTTTCATCTATAAACACACCAATCTAATTATCTATCTGCCTACTACCTGCCTACTTGCGTCATACTTGCGTACACACATACATACTTATTTAACGCCCTACCCTTCTGTCTGTCTGTCTGTCTGTCTGTCTAAGTGTCTGTCAGTCTTCTATCTTTCTGTCTGTTCCCCTTCCTTTGTGCCTGTCTGCCAGTCTAAGCCACGTGCCAAGTGACCCGAGGAAAAATACATATATGGAGCAAAATTTTCCTGAGAAACACTGACCCTACCTCCCCGGGTCCTTATTCAAACACCTACAAAAAAATAGCCCCTCCCATTAGTGCATCACTACTAAGCAAAAGGGACGCCCTTACCTTTTGTGTTGCAGCCACCAGCTTCGATCTTTGCGCTGTCAATACGAAACATCCACCGACCTGGCTTCCCAACATTAGACTTGCTACTTATGAACATAACTTGGTCGGTTGCAGATCCAGGAATGTTGAAATATCTTATACCGTCCCCGGCATTAAACCCTGCCTGTCAGTGAAAGAGGGAGACTTGTAACAAGGTAATCACTAACAATAACACTTGTTTATTTTTCTTTCGAAGAGAAGGTGTCAAAACCCCTTTTTGCACAGGTTCTTTCGATTTAAGGTATGGTTAGGTTTCATTTAGCATAAACGTGGAACTGAAGTCTAGAAGGAGTATAAATTAAACGTTAAGCCCAAAATGAAGAATTCGGTGTCTTAATGATAAAATAAATGTTGGCCTCGCAGCAGGTTTTTGCATGATATCGGCACTATCCAGGCCTCGGATTGCCCTTGGTCCGCGGCAGCCCTTGGCTTTGTTTGTAAATAAATACAAACCTCATGGAATACTCGGCATCATGTTAAAACTCGTATACCAGTTTGGGAATGTTTAATAGGGTTCAGCTGGTTATCCACAAATATTTTACCGCCTTAAGCCTCGTTACCATTTTCCCATGGAGTTTGCTGGCTTACTGTTTTTCTTCTGCACTGACAACAGGTGTTAATATACCTGCGCCGGGGTACCTCCGAGACCTGCGTCGTTTCCTCCGCTAGCCGTCCCAGTAGTCCACGTGATTTTACCGTAATTAAAGATGACAAAAGAATGTCTTCCGTTTGTAATCAGGATTGTCTGGAATGTGTTTCTCTGGAAGAGAGACAAGCGAGAAAGTTCAAATTAGGTTTCGCTGTGGTGTTTAGTATTATTGGTTATAAGTTATCTAAGAACTTAAAACAAGCAAGTAACAAAGCAAGTTACATAGTGAGTGACCGAAATAAGGTCATAGCTGGAAACTAGGGCCAGGTGCCTTGACAGTTCAGACTTAGCAAAGTGCGCGTGATGGAAGTCCCACGCAAGCTTGGTTAATAAGACATTCACTTAAGGCAACTAAACATGCTTAGAAAAACCCCAAGATCTGGCAGATATTTTATTGACCCCCTGATCTAACTTGTAATAAGGTTAGGTGTGTTACGATACGGCACTGGCTGAAATAGAACTTAACCTTAGGAATACATACAAACTCATACCCCCATCTTTTTTTCGTTCAATCCATAGGATGAGACATTTGTAGTGTTGCTAATGACGTCATATGACAGCGCATGACGTCATTAAGTCTGCTATCTTAACCTTCACTATTTTCTCAGAAAGTCAGAAAATAAAGTACGTGACAATAATGATGGAACGTAAAAGGGTACTGATTCTAGAATGCTGCTCAAGAAAAATAGAAACCGGTGAATACGAAATTGGCTTGAAATCCAAGCCAAAATGCTGTTGCCATGGCAATGTCAAATCACTCAGAGGGAAACAGTTGACACGTCAAAGTTTTAGCTAGGGTTAGACGATCAGTTGTTTGAAAGTTTTAGCACCACACAATAAATCCTCTTTTCAAAATTCTAAGAAAATCTCTTTGGGGTGGGGGTGGAGGTGGCATACACCACCTCCTTTGTTTTAAGTGTTTTCAAAATGAAAATGGAGATCTACAATCCTTACCTTAAAACGATTACTGTTATCAGCTCCAAAGAAAGCCACTTCGTTCCATGTGGCAATAAATAACCAAGTGGCTCTAAAGTTTTGATGACCCACATAAGTAGCAGTAACGTGGTTAGTGGCTTGCTGGAGGAGGTTTGGATCCGTGGTCTCTCTGTAGAACACATCTCCTCCCTTCCGAGTATCAACGTCAGCCCAAAATGGCGCCACCAGTCGACGATTACCGTCGAGAGGAAATGTATCTGGTGTGTATTGTGAAACTTGCACCAGAAAAGAAATTACGCCATTGGTATTAACCTGGAGGAGAGAAAGAAAACAACGACAAAAACAGACTGTCAGACGGTTTAACCCAGGATATTTGCCGTTAACATAGTATGCAAAGAATTCTGCTTTCAGGTTTTTGTACATAAAATTGCGATCTATCTCTTCGCTTTACATCTTTATTTCTCTATTATTGTTGTTAGTGGCCAGCGAGTCGTAAGGTACACCGAAAACCAAGTCCGGGGGGAGGTACTCCCCAAAGGTTTTGGTGGGGGTGTGCAGCCCAAACACTGAAGCCACTCTATTTCAGACCAAATTGATTTTCCATACCACATTTCAGACCTGGGCTAAATGACTCGGTACTCCACGTCAGACCCCTAAATTTGTATATGAACGAACTTAACCAGAAAAGGCTTTCATTTGCGTAAACATTTGAGAAGTGCTACAAATTTCCCAATGTTAATGCGGAAAAATATAGTTCCTTATACAAAAAAAAAAAAGAAATATTCAATGGCAACCAGACTGAAAAAACATACGCTATTTCACACCAAACGGGTCAACTATGCCCTTTCTCCGACCAAAAACGTAAAAACCATACCCTTTGGTACCGCACTTACCTATATTGCCCATATAAGAGAGTAATCTCCCTCACTGGAGCTCCAGCTAGGTGCGTTTTTCCACGTAAAATAAAGGTACGGCTCATACAAATGCTAAAACAATTAAACGTACGTTTCTTTAAATAACTTGTTCACCCAAATTTCTGAGGCTTGTTAAAATATTGAACAGTACCCAAACACGTAGATAATTGGTTGACCAAGTCTCTCGTTATGTCAGCTTCAAGCTCATTGCACAAATTACACGAATTCTCAAACTCAGTCTCAAAGGCTTCATATCGGTTCCTACCACGATCAAAATGAGACCGCCTCTGTGTCTATCGAGAATAACTAAATTACCACAGGTCAAAATTCTCTACTTACAAACAGTGAATTGTGATACTGGTCAAAGTAAGGGAAAGGAATCGATATCGACACCGAGCCAGAGCTTTCGTCGTCATTTTTGGGTAGAAGCCGATCACCTTCTCTCTCTCCAAATGGGTAAAAATTGGGACGCGTCGAGGCAAGTGTAACAGTCATCGAAGGGAGAATTTCATCGCAGACGAGAAGTAGAAGCGGTGTCAATATTAAATGAATCTTCATTTTTTGAGTCAAAGGATGCATATGCGTTGCCGGTGATCAACGACGGCATATAAATATAATTCTCTAGTTGTGCAAGCTGACATGCTTTTAAATTGCTCGTGTCAATTAATTACTTCCTGTTCCGTTACGTCACGCTGCGACGCTTGCATGAAACCCGCTAAAGGATTACGGAAGAACAAGTGATTGTCAACCACAGTAGGGCTACCTTTATTTCAGAGAAATTAAAATGAGTCGACGTGCATGACTTTGCGCTGTTATCTCTATGGTGTTTTACGTCTTGATATTTTCGTCAATCAAGTCATCATATCACTTCACGACGGCTTATTGTACTTTGCGAAATGGTACTTTACGAAACGAAACACAACGAAACGAAATGAAACCTGTACTTTGCGAAGTGAAAATCTGTACTTTGTGGAATGAAAATCTGTACGTTCTTGAATGGTTTTTGTGAAGAAGCTTCTGCGAACCTTCTATAGATTCTCCCACAATCATCACAATCAATACAAGTTATCTACAGGACGAACACTTACCGGCTACTTACAGTACTAATATTATACTTACATTTACACTTACACTGTACTTGCTCCTTACACTGCTTATACTTACACTATTTAGACATGCACTAGTTACAATACAATCACAATCACACTAATTAAATTACAGTTGGCTTACTTACGATGCTCCTTTTTATTATAGATAAATTACATAAACATATAAGTTACATACATGCTGCATTTTATTTTTCTACAACGCACTTAATTATGCTAGACTGCTTTTTTACTTTTCAACTACTACCAACGAAAAAATACTAAAAATTAGTCACAATACTGCTGATTAAACATACGCACTTACATAATAATCATATAAAAAGAGGGAAAAACAAACAAACAAAAAGAGAGAAAGTGAAAAAAAGTGGGCTGGGGGGAAGCCCTGGGGGTTTTCTTTCGTTGGATGTTTTTGGACCAAAACAGATTTTCATCACAGCTCGGATGAACGTTTCTAAGCAGGACGTGAGCAGCAGGCATGTCTGAGGATATCGAAGCTAAAAAGAAGGAACTGCTTCCGTCACAAACTGTCGCAATACGGACGAGGTCAAGGATTTTATGAACGTCATGCAAAACAGGCTGAAATTAAACTTTTCCTGTTCAAGCAAAAATGCTTAATTAAACGACCGGGTTAAACGGCAGGAGAAAACAATCACGTCGCTTCCAGATGTGTTAATACGAATTAAAGCAACTTAAGAGAGCAGATTAGACTGAAGCAAATAAAATGTCTCAGACACTGGAAATCACTTCAGACGTTTATACATTGATTACGCAAACCTGGTCACGTTTAAAGCAGTTAAGTTTAAAGTCACTCACCCCAGAGACCTGCTCATTCGCGATAGAGCATTAAAATCTCGTGAATAAAAACGATATCACGCCCATAGCCTGCAATAATCCATATACAGTTGGACCTCGACTAGAGGTTTTTCTTTGCAAGACAGAGATCTCAAAGAGTTTTCAACAATGCGAGCGTAAGACGTACAGAGTCTAAGACGTTCAGAGAATCTAAGAATTTTTCAAATTCTTCGTTTGTTATCCGTGTTAATCTTCTCTATCCTCAACCATTCTTGTTTTTTAATGGTATATTATTATCTTTTCGGCGTTTCTCTATCTCAGTAAACTTTATATTATTTTCAGGTTTCATCAGTTTTTAAAAGGCAATTTTGTCAGTACGTGGCCAAAATAACCCAAAATACCGTCACTTAACATAGAATGCTGTTAAGTAAATATATAACAATAACTCAGTGAAGGGTAAACACAATTACTGGAGCTTCATTAATTTCCACTGTGGCCCTTAGATAAACAAAGAAAGATTGTAATTGGACGGAAGCTTAGCAGTAGTGGGAAAAATGCCGTTATGATGCTTGTCACATCTTGAGATTTGATCAGTCTGCATGCCGTCACATCATCACCACACAGCGGCCGTCACTTGACTTAAATATGAATATTGTTTCAATACTGGAAACCACTTCTGGAAACTCTTACTGCAAAAGGAAGCCAGCTACAGTCAAACTGGATGTATTAGGCGGACACCCTCGGGAGACTTGCTAGTGTCTGCTGAAGACAGGTTCCCTCAGAATTCGTCTTAAAAGGGTCATATCAGTATTGGTCAGTATTAAAAGACCTTGAAAGACAAATAGGATTCTCGTGAACCATCGATAACTCTGAAATATCGTATTTCCATAAACAATGACAAGTATGGTAAAGAGATTTAAGTATACAGTAATGTGAAGGTTCACAAAATCAAAACAGGAACAAAAGTTCTGTAACAACAAAAACGAATAACAAAATATTGCATTTCTGAGACAGCTCAGTTTGTTGGCAAACTTAAACGATCGATCCGCCAGTGTCCGTTTTGATACAGGTTTCTAAAGATAGAATTGACCATAAAAGTCAAGTTTAAGGAGTCCGCGTCCGCATAGAGGTGTCCGTTGAATACAGTTATTTTTCAGGTGAATGTGGGAAAAGAAAAATGGGACTTGCACTGCTGTCCGCTTAATAGAGGGTGTCCGGTAAATATGGGATCCTCTTAATACAGGTTTGACTGTATCAGTGAATAAACAGCAGCCTATTATTTGTATTTACCCGACAACTCCTCGCTTACAACTCAGAGGTATTTGAGTTTCCCGACGACCTAATTTTTTTTAGAGTTCTTTTGCAAAATTACGCTTCATCGACAAAATCACGAAAAAGAAACTACGAAGCAGCATATCCCACCAAATGTTTTGCAAGTATCCCCCCTCCCCTGGGGGCTTTCGTATCACCCGATTAAGCGCCAGCGAACCGCGCATTCATTTACAACAATGCCGTATCTAATCGAAGCATCATAAGACCGAATTCGAATTGTTCCAGTATCCCTTTCTTCTTTTTTTTAGTTAAACCATCCTCGGAAACTTATTTTCCTGGATTACAAAGTTTCTCAATTTGAAGCAACTATACTTTGTTATTAACATTGCTATAAGTTTACAAATATGATGATCAAAGAGCGCGGTATGTCAACATCACATCAAAATAATAATTCAAAATCCCTAAAGGTCAATAGCTTTATCATAAATATGACATTTACCCTCGAGCGAAGCCAGAGGACGGGTTGGTAAACCAAACAGTGATTGCAACAGCGAGATATGTAAGTTATTGAACAATCGTGAGGTCCGTATTGGAAATATTGGTCAAATTATTTATTTGCCAGCTAAGTTGCACAAAATGAACGAAACTAATATTCACCAGTACGGACCGAATAAGCCAATTCAATAAAGTATTTACTTCGGATCTGAAGCCTGGTTTTCAGATCACTAGCGACACAAGCACAAGTGCAAACACAATAATTCTTATTTCACCGTGAAAACGACCTTGACGCAGGCATAAAAACAAGGATCAATTTTTTTTTGCTTTTTCTTGTGCTTGCCCTTATGCTTCCGTTTGAGCTGCAACAAGTGAAAACGAAATACCGCTGAGGCGTAACACATTGCAAGCACATTGCAAGCACAAGGATATTTACCACACGTGGTTATGTTTGGCCAATGAAAACACTGTATCCAGACTAGCTACCCCTCGCCTAAACAGTTTTTCAAAATGGGGAAGGTTGGGATGATTTTGCTTGTGCTTGTGGTTGCGTCGAATTTCGTTTGACTCGGGTCTATTGTTTGAGTTTGTTCTTGCGCTTGTGCTTGCGCTTGTGGACACAACGTTTTTTTTTGTTAAGATTTGGAAAACGGTCCATCTTAGCGGTCCGCATTGCAAAATTCGGACAGCTCAGAGAACCAATCAGAATGTTCCTTTTCGTCCTGGATCACTTTGCCATATAATAAATCAGCAGGTTATTCTCTACTGTTTGTTGTTTCTATGAACCCCGAATTAGCCCCTTAATGGCACACCACTTGTCAGTAGTTTTTAGCACTTGTTTATGGATGTTGATCTATTTTTATTAATTTTTTATGGCCATCAGTATTTTCTTTACAGGCAATATCAGGAGGTGATGGGCTCCTGGCAAGGTAAAACTGCCCGCAGTATTGGAGTGTTTTGGTTCAAACGTACAACACAATCAAGTGATCGTCCGTTGTGCATTTTTATTTCGTTGTTTAATGTGTCATCTGTATCGACCTGAAAATAAATTAACCGACGTGCTAGCAACTGTCATCAAACAATCACGACCCATTTTTCGTGCCTGTGCTTTATGTAGTTTCTCGATGCTTCGTTTTGATAGAAATCATACCCTGGCGGCCGAAAAAAAACCACTTTAAAATTACTTCAATGTTGGAAGTGTCCAAAAAGCCGTTTCATCCCTATCTCATAAAGTATCCATGGCAACTGTGTCTATTTCCATTTGTGTGACACTCACGGGGTGTTCATTCAAAGGTCACATGGAAATTTTCGTGTAGTTTTCCTGGTCTCTCAGCAAGGCAAAATGCGCAACGCTCACGAAATCTGTTTTTTTCTTCTCTTCAGTCAAGCCTCATGTTTAAGTGGGGCAGTGAGTACAATATATGGCGAGCCGTCAAACCAAACACAGTTGTGTGACTATACCTGTGCAGACTTCTCAAACACATCGAATGCTCTGCGTCGCCCTTGGGAATTTTATTCCAAGGTAAGATTCGAGTTTTATATTAGCTAGAGACACTACATTAGCAGAAACTCGTTGCGAAATTCCAGGTGAAATTGTGTTTCCTTTTCGAAATGTATATGCCAACGCCAAAACGTTTAATTTAAAATTCAGGACCTATCTTTTAGAACCCAAGTTGATCTGCGCAGCAAAACAAATTAGCTCTCCTCAAAATAAATAGATATTTTCGTGTCAGCGGCAGATGTTTCTAAATATTCGTCCCCGACAGCAAGCTAATTCACCAGTATATTTTTCGTGACCACATGCATACAGTTAGCAAAAATATTCCTTAAAAAAGAAGGAAAAAAACCAGATAAATTAAAAAAAAGAAACGTCGCAAATACTGACTTTACCAGCGGAATAAGTTAGCAGTTAAAACTAAACCCGACCGAAACACTCCCTGTTTTACCTGTTAGACCCTGTTAGAGCGGGTCATTTGCCGACATTGTTCAATATATTAAAACCTAAACAAACGTTATGACTCGATCGTCCCTCAAAACACCGAAGTCCTCAGGGCACTGTGTTTTTTTTTCTAAATATTTTTTGGCCCAATCTGTCGTGCCCTTTTTCATCCATTTTCCATCAGTCGTCTGATACGATTATTTCAACGCATTTTCAACCAAACGCTTATTATGGGCCCAAACGTCAACGGCCGGGATAAAAACATGGGCGACACTATTTATTTTCTTTCAATTTGAAATCGGAGGACATTGTCACTAGTAACCGGAAAAAGCGTTTTATATTTCGCGGTACCCCACTTATAATTATTGTTTATGATACCTCTTGGGTGATAGACCACAAAAACCTGATGAGGCGCTTTCAGGTTTTATAAAGAAGCTCTTGCAGACGAGAAGTTCGTCGTTATTAGTATTCATTGTCCTAAGAAAGAAAAACTGTCAGTTTGTACTGGAAAGTGACAGCCTCGACAAATGGTGTGACAGATTCCGAGTTTTTTCTTTTTTGGGGCTGTCACGCAAGTGAACGAACATTGTGTGACCCCCCAAAAAACGCGTTTTTTTAAATCTCTTTCACAGCGTTTAGAAGCATGACAAAATCACGGGGGGCATTGGTCTAATTCATTTTTTGTGTTTTTTAACGCATCACTGCAGAAAGTAGGGAAGATTTAATTACTGGCTGGTAAATTATGTGAGTCTTTCAGTCGAATGTACAATTTGCTATTGATTAGTCGTGCTGGTAACCATGTGGTAGACTACAAACATGCTGGTAGTACCTGCTGTTTTATTAACTTTACCATAGAGCCTCCCTTTTAATCCGCAATTTCACGAGTCTTTCAGGTTTGTAAGTACTCTTTTTACACAACAAGGAATCTGCGTATGTAAAGTGTCCCGTATACATAAGTCCATATCTTACTTTCCATCTGCCTGTGCATGAATCTTCGTTCCGTGGGCAAATGCACACGGACCGTCACAACTAAAATTGCCTGACACCCCGGCGAGGGTGAAGGGGTGGGGGGTACTCCCGGAAAAATTGGGCGTGGGTGTGCGGTCCGCTTCCCAAAACCCCTATCCTATTTTTGACCAAAATCTGCTATTTTTCCTACCCTATTTATGACCTAACCAACAATTCGATACCCTATTCATGGTCGTCGCGGCTAGCACAGTTGCTCCAAACATAATTTATGAAGGGCTTTTGTTGCTGGTCTTATCGATAATGATGAAACAGTAGCTTCTTCTAAAAAAACATACTTAATTCAAGACCAGAGTGCAAAAATCCGTACCCTATTTCTGACCAAAATGGCCAAAATCGTCGATGAATGTTTAGCTTAAGCAAGTTTTTAGACCGACACGCGTACTAAACGGATTTACACACTTGCTACATTCGAAGGTAAAGTATAAATACATTTATTTACTAGGCGTCGTCTTCGGCATCGCCGTCGTCATGGCTACTAACTAGATAGATAGATATTCTTTATTTATCGACAGTACAAAATTCGTTATACAACTCCTTATACAACACGGCGACGCCGAGGACAATGGCGATTAAAAAATGAATTTATATTTTACCTACGAATCTCGCGACAAGTCATTTAGTTAAATTTGTTGCTCAATGTGAAACCTATCACGAAACTGATGCTGGAGTACAGCGATGAATTTGAAATAGAAACTTAGAAATTAGTCGTCGTCGTTCACGTTCTCCAGACAACGCAGAATTTGGTCATTTCACGTTGTTGTTTTGCGAGGACGGCCAAGAAATGTAATATATAGATTTAGCCAGGCCTAAAAGTGGAGCTCCTGATGACAATAAATTAGCTTTGCTTGAGCCTGCGATCCAATCGAAAACCTGTACCTGGGCAACGCTCAACTTAAAAAGAAACACGTGACTTCGATTAGCGCTAAACATGAGCCCGCAAAATGGTCACGTGCTACTGGTCAGCAGATACCTTGTTTTGACAGGTGTTAATTGGACATAACATGGATGCCCAATATCAAAGATGTACGCTGTAAACCCGCCCCTCCTAATCTCTACGAGGAAAGCCTTGGGAACTAGGTTATTGCAGAGTGACATTTTGCATTGATTTACATGAGGGGAGCGTACGGACAATCACGTGACAGCCAAAGTTTTTCAGGTCGATGGGTTACCAAATTTTCTAAGCAATGGAAATGAGCCTGCCAAAGGCTATGAATGATTAATAGTAAAAATTGGCATTTTGCCCCCGAAAGGTCACGTGGAATAGGCGATTTGATTTGATGGCGTCATTTGGCTACAACTACCAGAATCTTTCACTTTTTTTTGTTTCACATGTTAGTTAGGGCAATTGTTATTTAAACCCCACTGGGGCTTCAAAATTCAAATAATAAAAAACAAACGAAAGGAATTCTGGTAGTTGTAGTCAAATGACGCTATCGGCAAAACTGCTATTGCAAAGTGTGTGTTCTAAGCCCTTCATAGTGGGATCCAGGTGCCTTGTTATTACGCGCAGCGTTTTTATGCTACGTCACTTTTCAGTGCAGTTTTTCTGGCCTGCAGTGCGTTAAAATGCGCAGCGTACGCCAAGTAAGTTATCTCCTCCTCTTTTGTCAAGTCTCATTCTTGAGTTGTGATGTATTGCCTGATAAAATGTCAAGCAAGATCCAGATAGAAAGATTTAAGTGGACTGAAACGAGTTATAGCCACACAGGGAGACTGAACACAAAAAATACTCTACATGGCCGGTGGAAATCCTTCTTGAAGGTATTGTCCATATGTGTCTCCGTTATTTGCCAAGTAGTGATTTGACAGTATGAATTTGAGGTTTTGGCAATAATCTATCAAACTCCCAAATGTTGAAGTCATTTTCTGACACAAGTTCTTTCGTTAGGCAAGAATTTGCCAATATTTGTAAACATAGAAAAACTAACAGTAAGCAGTTTACTGAAAGTCCAATAACCATGGTAACCACCTGTCTATCTGTGTTATCGTGGAACGCCTTGTAGTGAAAACTACCTGAAGTTGTAAGTTGTTAATATTTAAGAGCAGAAAAAATGACTTGCCTATGATGGAATTGCCTTGGACAACTTTTGCACTTATTAGCAGCCAATAGCGGTTTATCAAAGAGAGTCCGATCATTACTGCACGTCGAAACAACAATTACAGAACAAAAACAAACGACAACAACAAGTATGTTGTAGAATTAAATTTAAAACTGTTAAAGCGATCTCTTTCCATGATTAAAGTTCTAAGAAAGGAATTTTAAACAGATCTAAAAAACGTTAAACTGAATTTTCGACCGCTAGTTCAACGGTCCTCTTCAGTCACGGAATGCAAAATGTAGTAACTAAAGACGTCTTTGTTCGTTGCCCCTTGGGGAGGAAACCAGTGATACATAAACCCTTGGAAAGGGTGCTCTTTCATGAACAGAGTTCTTGTCTAGGAATGAATGTAACGACTCTAGGAAAAGCCTTTTGTCCTTGTTTTTCACGCCTGTTTCCAAAATGCTCGCATAATTAGGGTGTATGTTTCGGCATGATGTTTTACAGCGGAGCCGACGTTCTCATTCGTTCCAGGCTTGTGTTCAGCAACCCGAGACTTCCAACTTCATTTACTCTCTCCTTTTCAGCTGTTCCTTTCAACTGTGTGTTTTTTTTTTTCTTAGCTTGGCGGCCGGTCCTTAGGTTTCTTGAAAACATTACCCNTTTTTTTTTTTTTTTTTTTTTTAGCTTGGCGGCCGGTCCTTAGGTTTCTTGAAAACATTACCCAATGTTTTCAGTGGTTTAAAAGCTGTCTTGATGTTTTTGCGGTTCAAAATCCGTCTAATTCAATCCGGCACTCCTTTATAATGGAATTGGCGCATATGCTTTTGGGTTCTCCCAGGCATTGGCTGTGTGATGTTTCGTTGACCGACCGATTTAATGAAGTTTCCAGGATAGTCATTAGCTTTAAGGTCGTTGATGACACGTCGCCCCTTGGTCTGTCTCTGCGCAGTCGTTGATAGAATGCATTTACCGCGGTCCCTTAAGGTCTTAACAACAGCTCTTTTGCTTTGTGCTGGGCTGTGTGAATGGAAATCTAATTACTCTTGCCCATGGTTGTTGTGGTCGTCCCTACTGTAAACTGAATGTTGGTATTTATCGCGTTGGAATCGTCGACATCACGGCGCCGTCATTTTGGTTTGATGGGCGAAGTTTGTAATGCTTTCTCCTTACATTACAAGTTCTGCGACGACCGCACTGACTGGAGATCCCATGGCACACCTCGATACCTGCTGGTATTGGATCCCCTCGAATATGAGATAGCTGTTGTGTAGAAGAAAGGAGAGTAAGTGAGTAAGTCCAGGATTTGGTCTTTGGTCAATTGCGTGTGATTTTTCCAGTCATCAGATCCCTCAGGTTTTCTCTGAACAATGTCTATAGCCATGTCGATAGGTATGGAGGTGCAGAGTGAAATCACGTCAAACGACACAACCAGTTCGTCTTCGGCGACCTCCTGGTTACTTATGAACTCTGCAAACTGTTTGGCATTCTTGACAGAATATTCGGTTCCATTCGTAAGGAAAAATGACGTCTTAGCTACATATTTGCATTCCGTGACTCTTGCAGAGTACATTTCTCTGAAGAAGACCACAGAAGGCGGTCGAAAATTCAGTTTTAACGTTTTTTAGATCTGTTTCAAACTCCTTTCTCAGAGCTTTAGAATTAAATTCACCCTCACTTTATCCCAAAAAGAGCGGGAAGTTTGATTCGTTGAAACTTCGGGATACATCTTTTAAGCATGATGTGTTTTCTCGCGATGACATATTTCACTTGAGCTACTGTAGGACAACCTCGCATTTGCCATCTTCAAAGAGTTCTACTTTCTTCTTTTTTTCACCATGGAACGTAATTATCCGAATCAGCTGCAGTGCATAAGCGATTGCACTATCTATCGCAAGAATCGGAGTAAACATTGCAAAAGTGATGATGTATTTATTTCGCAGCAATGTAACACTGTAGGTTATGCCTATGTGAAAAGTTCGCCTGAAGTTTACAGGAATCAAAAGGGTGAAATTCGGTTCACGGTTACAATCGCTCATTACTTCCGCATTCAATCGGAAAGATAAATCTGATTCACTCTCGCAGAAACTGAAGTGTTTACTTTGAGAAGGTTTTTCAAAATTTCCGAGTAGCGTGGCTCCTCTTATCTGAGTCCACTGGATGTAAGGTTTTAAGATAAAGGCATTCTAAGAATAGGCTAGAGTTCTCAATTAGACGGAGGAAGTAATACCTTGTCTTGCCTGCTGCTTCATTTCATTTTGTTTTAGTCTCGGATCCACAAAGCCCCAGATGTGGCTAAGAGACGCCTGGTGGATCGCATCATGAGTAAGTACCATTTTGTATCATACACGTAACGTAAAAGACAATCAGCGAAGAGAGTGCGTGTGGAAGAGAGTGAGGTTACACAGCGACGTTACTTATTTAGGTTTGATCTAATGCGAGTAGAGTTTCAACCCAAGCGTTGCTTTGCAACTGAGTGTAAGGTCCCGCCCACACTAGGCTGGAGAAATTTGAAAAAGGAGGTTTCACTCTGAAAACGCATCAAACGTTTTCCGTCCACACAACGCCGGAGGAATTTAAAAACGCACCAATCACCGGTCATTTTGAATTTGTGTTTGAGGGAATTTCGGGCAGGGAAATCACATAATTATCGTGACGTCATAGATTTCAATAAGCTCCGTTTAATTTTGAAAATGTTTTTCGTCCACAAGAAAACGAAAAGCTAGCGTTTTCAAATGCCTCCGGTTTGAAGAGCGTTTTCGAAAAGCTTCGTTTCTCTTGTTCTTATTTTTTTTTTTTTTTTTGTAATTTTTATTTTTTTCAACATTTTGGGTTATAATACATACAATACAACACAAGACNGGTAGCTATTTTTTTTTCAATGTAATAAACGGTTTTTGTCTTTGCTAAAAATATTGTTAATGTTGGTTTATGACAAGCACGGTCATGCTAAGGTTTCTAAACTCGAGTATGAACTAGCTGGCAAGCCATTTATCACAATTGTGCAATTACGAATAGAATAAAATTACCAGACATAAAAGATTTTAATTTTATAATAAACGTGACAGAGAGTGGGATGTTTTCGAAAAGCCCACAACATCTTAATCCTGGCCTGTTGTGTTTTATCATCAGTGGATGGCATTGTTGGAGAGATGCATTTAGATATGCAGAAAGTCAACAGAGATTTTCAAAGACCCCTTCGAATCAATATTGACTCGGGTACCGATGTTGTATCTGGTTATTTTTTCAATTTCCACGACCACAAGCCAACGTTTAAAGTGGACTCAAAAGACCAGCCGAGGGTATCACTGACTGGAGGCCCGTTAAACTCGACTTATCTCATGGATCAATTTCACTTTCACGTTTACTGTACGAGGGAGGAGTCTGAACAGAATACGCTAGACAGAGCGCAAGTTCCTGGCGAGGTAAGCGAAAGTGTAAGTTCCTTTGCTCTCGGGAATTTAAGGTGACTGACAACATTTTCCGGTACTTTCCCGCAGTTTTATTTCGGATTCATGACCAAGTGATGCTACAATATTGGTATCACACAAATGCCCAAACAGTGTTGAACAAGGGGTTCAGAGCCACTTTAAGTTTTCGAAGAAATTTCCCTGCTCTTTAGACGTTGTTGTAGTGACTGACAGAGTTGCTCATTAGTAACAATAAGCAACTGGGAAGTAGAGAGTTCTACCATCAGAACACTAATGTTACTTGCTTTGTGTTGTTTTGTAGATACATATCGTTTTCTTCCGTGAGAAATATCAGTCTTACAAGAAAGCTTTAAACAAATTCCAAGATGGCCTTGCCGTTATTGCAATCTATTTAGAGGTGAGTAATTCAATTGACAACAGTGCACTGTACTTCGGATGACAAGCGCACTCAGTATGGGTTGTATTTACCCATGGGGCATATGATACGAGACTTATACGTGTGGTTGACTACAGAAAACTGTAGAAGTATTTAATTTAACCATTGAAACGGCATCCAACTATTAGTGGAGAAATAGTACAAACAAAATGAAAGAAAATAGTTTTAGCAATAGTGTCAAATGGTCTGTAATTGTGTTACTACCTCATAAGTTACATAAAATCCCTTTAAGGTGCATTAGGCGTCAGATGAATTGGGAAAAAAACGCTGCGTCTGAAAACAGACACATTAAACGTCTCAGACGTATCACACGTTAAGTTAAAACTCCAGACGCATAAAGCAAACAATTTGAAGTGAACTTTGCAACTACTCAACTAAACTTTGTAACCAAATACGGCCGGTGAGGGACAAAGTAATTTAATTCTTAACTTTAATATAATAATAAAAGTGATAGCGATACGGTCAAGACTAGTCTGGCGCTGCAATAGTCAGACATTGCTTGGACACAGACCTTGGTAAATCCTACATTCCTAAAATTAGCCTCATCTGCAGAACAGGCTGATTAGAGTGGTGGTGGTAACGACGGGGGGGGGGNGGAGGGGCGGGGGACCAAGTGCAAAGCACCAGACGTGAGCGTAGAGCGGGAGACGAAAAGTAACCCGGTGCTATATTTGTCGTTGTTTGTTTGTCGCGTTTCCAGTTGGCGCAGCGCTTCGCACTCGTGTAAAACACTCGGCGTTCTGCCCTCTAAACCGCTTGTTCTGCGGACTGCTGTTTACGCAGAGCGCCAGTTCAATTTGCAATCGCAAACAAGGCTTAATTTGTTGTTATGACAGGTTGGAGAGGATGACAGCAACAACCATCAAATAGAGAAATTCTCATCTTTTGCAGACTACATCTCACGTGATGAAAGTAAGACATTATTTTAACCTAGGAGTTGTGGTTTGTAGTGCTGTTTCATGTCTATCGTTATAAGGCTTCAAGTGTCTTTAACATGCCTTGGTCTTGGCTCGGGGACTTGTTGAAAACCGAACAAACTTCCTAACATTTCACACAAGGGTATCCCTAGGAAGGAGATCGGGGAGTGGTGGTCTCTGGGATTTCTGGCGGGGTTCATTCGTGAAATCTTGATTAAACAGGAGGCTTTATCAAAAATGGCTGGTTATGTGTTAGAGCAATTTCGTAATTATCGATTAAGTGGTTGACGAAAACACTATCATCAGCGGGTTTGCTGTATTTCGGTTTAGGGGTTGTATTTTCGCGAAGGCTAATTATCAAACTTGTACACATTACTCATTTCTCACAGCAAAGTGAACTTCGTTGGGTCATTTCCAGTTACAATGTAATAAAACAATTGATTCCTGCTTTTAGCTGTCTGTATAATGAGTTATGGATGCACTGGGAAGTTTGGAGAGCACTTAAGAAGCTAGAGTTGCTCTCGGCTGCGCCTCGGGCAACTGTTACGCGCTCCAAACTTCCCGCAGGCATCATAGCTCGACAAAAATGATGTCATCCTGTAGAGCTAGCTCAGGGCTATCTAATCAGTGTAAGTTTATTTCGCTGTACCTTAACAGAACGAAACTATATAATATGTAAATGATTTTATGTAAAATTAGGGAGGACCATATTGTAAACTACTGGGCAACCAGTAAATTATGTTACCCTCGTTAAATAAAGCCTTTT